CAAATGTCACAGACCCTGAAGTGATCTCATCCTCCTACCAATACCCGGAACGTCTCCTTCATCCCATATCTCCCGTAATGGCTCCAAAGTCCATAGTCACCTCACTCTACCCTCAGGGAGTCATGAGAGAACCTTTTCTCCCCACCCTCCACCCCCAACCAATACCCTACTTTTCTACTTGGCTAATTTCTCTTCATTCTTCAGGTTTCGGTTTGGTCACTAATTTCTCCAGAAATGTTTCCCACACTCCAAGTCTGTGTGAGGCACTGCTCCTATGTGTTCCTACATCACCTTGAACTTCCCTTCTCGTAGCACTTATCACAGTATAGTGTTGCATTTGTCAGATTCTTTATCCATATCTTCCACCAGACTGCATGAAGGGACCTGATCTATATTGCTCATTGACATTTCCTCAATTCCTAACACAGTCCCAGGCATATACTAGGCATTCAATTAAAAATTTGTTAGAGGAAATGAGCAAATGAATCATAACATCTCCAGCTAGGTTTGCTGGTATGATAAATAGACAGTGAGTGCCTGTTATGTGCCCTTTTACTATGCACACCTTTTTTTTTTAGTATGAATTTTTTTAATTTGGATTTTGGATTAAGAATGCTTAACCTGTATATGGATTTTATTAAGCAATAAATAGTACACAAATTGAAAAAGAAAAAGGCCTCATGAATGCAGGACTTCCTGCGTCTCTGGCGCCACAGGCCAAAGAACATGGAGACTCACAATCAAACCAAATTCTAGAACTCTAATCCACAGGAGTGGAAGCTTGAGTGTTGGGCCTGTATCTTGTTGACCATTTTATCTCCATCATCCAAAAAGTACTGTGTTCAATGCATAGTTGCTCAGAGAGTGAATGAACACATGAGGATGCAAAATGATCATAGAAGGAATTTTTATTTTCTTTATCTTATTTTGATTGGTGCTAGTGTACAGAAATCAACTGATGGCTGCACATTGATCTTGGATCCTGCAACTTTGCTGAGCTCATTTATTGTGTACTTGAATATGTTTTTCCCCCTTTTTGGTGGATTCTTTAGTGTTTTCTCTCTATAAGAACATTCTGTATATGAATAGAGATAGTTCTCCTGTTCCTTTCCAGTCTGGATGCCTTTATTTCTTTTTCTTGACTAATTGCCGTGACTAGAAGTTTAAGTACAATGTTGACTAGAAGTGGCAAGAGAAGACATCCTTGTCTTCTTCCCGATCTAGGGAGAAATCACCCAGTCTTTCACCAGTAAGTATGATGTTGTCTCTGGGTTTCTCATAGATGCCCTTAACCAGGTTGTAGAAGTTCCCTTCTATTCCTAATTTCTGGAATCTATTTTCATAAAAACATGTTGGATTTTGTCCAGCATTCCTTTCCCCATGTGATTGAGATGGTCATGAGCCCCCACCCCAAATTCTGTTAATACAGAATACACAATATAGTACGTGAGTCACTTTTCATTATGTTGAACTCACCTTACATCAAGTGGGATAAGTCTGACTTGATTATGGTGCATAATAAATGGTCAATAAAAATTTGTTGGAAGAATAGGAGTGAATCAGGCGAACTACTTGAGGACAGTGTGTGAAGGAATCTGTAGCATGATGAAAAGCCAAGGTATTTGGGTGAGGGCTGAAATTATTTCATTAAGGATGGACAGTGGGGAGCTGGTGGGGAGTTGTGGTTGATATGGCCAGAGAAGAGGTACACAGGAGCCAAGGCGTGGCATTTCTGTTATGCTATGTCAGGTTTGGGAATATCCTATACGCTATAGGATATAGTGAACCCAGTGTGGGCTTTAAACTCAGAAGTGGCATGACCTGATTTGTTTCTAGAAAGATCATTCTGGCAACTGTGTGGAGAACAGATTTGGGAGGATCGAGATTGGAGATAGGAAGCTGCTATAGTATCACAGTCAGGAAATGATAGATATCTCAACTAAGATGATGGCATTGATACATAAGACCAGGTGACAGATTTTTTTTTTAAAAAAGGTGTATCACATGTACAGGAAAGCAATGCGAGTCAACTCCCTGTATAGCTATCCTTATCTCAACTAGCAAAAACACTTGTTCCTTCCTATTATTGCTTATACTCTTTCTTCAACAAAATTAGAGATAAGGGCAAAATAGTTTCTGCCTGGTAGCGAGGGGGTAGAGGGGGAGAGGGAGGGGATGGGTGGAAGGGGGGAGAAATGACCCAAACATTGTATGCACATATGAATAAAAGAAAAGAAAAGAAAGAAATTAATTCTTACATTAAATAGCTATAGAACAGCAGTTGATCCCACTTCTTATTCCTGAGACTTCATACAGGGCTGGATGAGATCAGTCAAAATTTACGCTACTATGACTCTTGTTATATTGCTTGAAGATGGCCCAGTTTGCTAGAATTTGCAAGTTCCACCAAGCAATTGAGTCAAAAGTCCATCAAAAAGTATAAAACACTGAGGAATAAACTTAGCAAAATATGTGCAGGATGTGTACTCTGAAAATTGCAAGGCATTGCTGAAAGAAATTAAAGGAGACCTAAATAATTGGAAAGACATTCTGTGTTACACAGACTCAACATGATGTCTGTCAGAATCCAACCTGCCTTCTTTGTAAAAAATTGACTAGGTGATCCTAAAATGTATGTGGAAGTACAAGGGTCCAGATACAGAAAGCAATCTCAAAATAGAAGAACGAATCTGGAAGACTCACACTTCTCAACTTAAACACTTACTACAAAGCTACAGTGACCAAAAGATGTGGGACTGGCATCATGATAGACATACAGATCAATGTTATAGAATTTAAGTCCGAAACAAACCCACATATCTACGTATAATGATTTTCAGTAAGGTGATAAGAACATGCAGTGGGCAAAAGAATAATCCCTTTGACAATTGGTGTGGAATAATCGGATAGCCACGTGGCAAAAAAATGAAATCCCATGCCAGAAATAACATCATAACAACATAAAAAATTACTCACTCAAAATGGATCACAGATCTAGATGTAAGGATTAAAACTACAAAAACTCTTAGAAGACATCATAAATGTACATCTCTGTGGCCTTGGATTAGGCAACAGTTCCTTTAATGTGACACCAAAAGCACACCCACAAGTGTTTTCTTTTGACAAACTGGACTTCATCCAAATGAAAATCGTTTACACACCAACGGACTCTACCTAGAAAGTGATAGGTCAGCTCACAAAATGGGAGAAACATTTATAAATCACCTGTCTGATAAGGATATGTTTTCCAGACTATACAAGGAACTCCACAGCAAAGAGGCAATCAATCCCAAGTTTTAAAAGTGGGCAAAGGACTTGAATAGACATTCTTCCAAAGCAGATGTTCAAACAGACAAGAAGCTCATGCAAAGATGTGCAGCATCATTAGCCTTCTGGGAAATGCAAAAAATGGGAAAAGCACCATGCACGTCACCCCCACAAGGATGGGCATTATAAAGAAAACAGAACTAAGCAAAGAGAAAAGTAAGTTTTGTTGAGGATGTGCAGAAATTAGTATCCTGACACACTGCTGTCGGGAATGCAAAAGGGTACAGCTGCTATGGAAATCAGCTTGGCAGATCAGCAATAAGTTAAACATAGAATTACAGTATGGCCCAGGAGTTTCACTCCGAGATATAGACCCAAAAGATTTGACAAAAGGTCTTATAGGAATGTTCATGGAAGCACACTATTCACGGCAACCAAAAGGTGGAAATTGCCCAACTGCCCATCAACTGATGAGTGAACACACAAAATGTGGCCTATGCACACCGTGGAACACTAGTTCAGTGCGAAAAGGAATGAAATAAGGGTGCCTGCTGCAATGTGGACGAACCACAACGAACCCCTGCAACGTGGATGAACCCTAGTGAATCCATGATGCTAGGTGAAAGCAGGCAGACACGAATACAGTGCAAAAACCAAAATGTACTCACATGCATGTAATTGCAATAATGATACCTGTCGTAACTATTCCATGAATCAGGGGTGGGGGGATAAAGGGGAGCAGTGGAGGAATTGAATTCAAGTACAATACACTGTAAGAACCTTTGTAAATGCCACAATGTACCCCCACCCAGCACAACAATAAAGGAAGAAAAAAGGCCACACCTTTTTTCCATCTACAGGAAACGTCCGCACAGGCAATCCTTTACCAGAAGAAAGATTGGTGGCTGCCAGTGGCCAGGGAGTGAGTGGGGGGTGGGGGGGTCTGGGGAGTGACTGGTTAATAGAGCGGTGGAGTTCTTTTGGGAGTTTTGTGAAAGTGCTTGGAAACAGATTTGGTGTGGTGGGGGGTTCTGCGGGGATGAGGGGGAAAGTAGAAGTCAGAAACAGCATGGAACAGAGGAGCAGGAGCAGGCTCTTCCGGCGGCGACAGGACTGGGGGTGGCCCGTGGGTGGGAGTGGAGGAGTACAGAGGGCGCCCCTCTTGGCTCCGACTGAGTCGGAGCCTGCCTGCCTGACTGCCTGGTCAAATCTCCAGAATGATGACATGGCTGAGACCATGACCACCTCTAAAGGCGACCGGACTGGGGACAGAGAGTGGACAGACGGTGGGGCGTGGGCGCCAACGGGGCCAACGGGAAGGCGAAAGCGTGGGGGTGCGGGGATGGAAACGATCCAGAAAAATGCAAACGGGGGGAGGGGTCATGCGGGGTCACGAGTCCAGTTTTGGTCACATTCGGATGGAGATTCGATGAGGCGCCCTTTGCAACGGAGACTGGCCAGCGATAACCCAGCAACAGCTGGCGCCTGGCCGGGCCACGCGGGGCCAGGACCCCGGATTTGCTTAGGGGCCAAGCCGGGTCCCGCCCCACAAAACTGTCATTTGCACACGTGGCGGGGCGGCCGGCCCGGGTCCTCCATTCGCTGAGGGGGCCGACGTCAGGCCAGGCCCCCCCCCCCCCCCCCCCCTGATTTGCATACGCGCCTCCGAGCCTGACCGGGTTCCGCCTCAGGCCCCGCTCTTTGCACAGCACCACAGCAACGGTGTGGGGCGGGGCCGCCCGGAGCGGCGCGCGCTCCGGCGGGCTGTGCTAGACGCGGGGCACGTCGCGGCCAGATCCGTCGGCTGCGTCAGCACGTCCGGAAGTGCGGGAGCGGCCGACATGGCGGCGTCCGCGTCCGGCTTGGGCGGCGGCGGCGGCGCCGGCGGCTTGGGCGGCGGGGGCCCCGGGCCCGAGGCCGGGGACTTCCTGGCCCGGTACCGGTTGGTGTCGAACAAGCTCAAGAAGCGGTTCCTGCGGAAACCGAACGTGGCGGAGGCCGGCGAGCAGTTCGGGCAGCTGGGCCGCGAGCTCCGTGCCCAGGAGTGCCTCCCTTACGCGGCGTGGTGCCAGCTGGCCGTGGCGCGCTGCCAGCAGGCGCTCTTCCACGGGCCCGGGGAGGCGCTGGCCCTCACCGAGGCCGCGCGCCTCTTTCTGCGGCAGGAGTGCGACACTCGCCAGCGCTTGGTCTGCCCCGCCGCCTACGGCGAGCCCCTGCAGGCGGCCGCCAGCGCCCTGAGCGCCGCCGTGCGCCTGCACCTCGAGCTGGGCCAGCCGGCCGCCGCCGCCGCCCTGTGCCTGGAGCTGGCCGCCGCCCTGCGCGATCTGGGCCAGCCGGCCGCCGCCGCCGGCCACTTCCAGCGCGCCGCGCAGCTGCACCTGCCCCTGCTGCCCCTGGCCGCGCTGCAGGCGCTCGGCGACGCCGCCTCCTGCCAGCTACTGGCGCGCGACTACAACGGCGCCCTGGCGGTCTTCACGCGCATGCAGCGCTGGCGCGCGACCACGGCAGCCACCCAGTGCCGCCGCAGCCGCCCCCGCCCCCGCCGCCCCGCCGCCCCGCGGCCCGGGCCCCAGCACGCACCCGGCGCGGCCTCCACCCTGCCCGCTGCACCGCCCGCTGCCAACACCGGCTCTGCCGCGCCCTCTCCTGCAACGCTGGGCGCCTTCTCAGACGTGCTGGCCCGGTGCGAGGTGTCCCGCGTGCTGCTGCTGCTGCTCCTGCAGCCGCCGCCCGCCAAGCTGCTGCCCGAGCACGCCCAGACCCTGGAGCGGTACTCCTGGGAGGCTTTTGACGGCCACGGGCAAGAGGGCAGCGGCCAGCTTCCCGAGGAGTTGTTTCTGCTACTGCAGTCCTTGGTCATGGCTACCCACGAAAAGGACACGGAAGCCGTCAAGTCCCTGCAGGTGGAGATGTGGCCACTGTTGACTGCTGAGCAGAACCACCTCCTTCACCTCGTTCTGCAGGAAACCATCTCCCCCTCGGGATACGGGGTCTGATAAATCACAGTGACCAGACAAACTTTTTGCCTGGTACCCAACCGCACACATCCATCCACCTTTGCCTTTGGGGAGAAATAAAAGGTCAGGTGATCCTGGTTCTGCATCCTCTGTTGCTCCCGTTTTCACCATGGTGTTTGTCTTTCTGTGTCTACCTAATTTCACTTAGCCTGATGCCATCCACGTGCATCCATGTTTCCGCAAATGACAAGGCATCATTCTTTCTGTTGCTGGATGGTGTTCTAGTGTATATATTTGATACGCAGTTTCTTTATTCATTCATCTGTCGATGGATACTTAGATTGGTTGTGTTGCTTGGATGTTGCAAATAGTGCTGCAGTGTACATGGGAGAACAGATAATCTCTTTTGACATACCGATTCTCCTTTCAACGTATGTATACCCGGTGGTGGTTTACATTAGCAACAATCGTTTAGAAAAGAGATGAAATGAAATAGTTGTGCCTCCAGCAGTTTGGGAATACGAGAATTTGGTCACACTCCCGCTTGAAACCTAAAACATTACCCTTGCGCTTTGTCAAATAAGGTAGGAGAAAAGTGTGAAAAGCAACAAATGACATAAAACATAGTTGTTACAGTCTCTCCCTCTGTATGAGTTCTGTTGACAAGTAAAACTGTCACGTTTTACTACCCATTCTGGATTTTTCCCTTCACAGGTTCAGTTGTCCTGAATTGTTTCTGACGAGGTGATCTAAACCTTCATTCTGTGTAGCATTGAGTTCTTGGTGGTCCCAGCCTTTACTTACTGGGTTGCTGCAAGTTTCCATTTTCCATAGTTACTGGACAAGAGAGTACCCAAATGGCATTGGAATGGATCTCCTGGATTCTGAACAGGTTCCTTCTGAAGAGTAACACAATTTCCACTTGACCATTAGGTTCCGTCTTCCCAGCTAATACTGTGAGCCACTGTCTGTCTGCCTTTTGCTTCAGTGGCAGGAGAAGGCCAATTCACTAGAACTTTTATTCCGTTCCCTGAGAGAAGCACTCCTCCCCCAAACCACTACCTCTACTCAACCCAGTGCAGTGGGGTTTCGGAAAGTAGCAAAAACGCCCCTAATTCACTGTTAGGTGAAATAGTGAGAAAGGCCAATCACTTGTTCGGTCCCGGGACTCATGCATCCTTGCTATCAGGGAGCTGTCTGTCATATGTTGACCACTGGTTTAAGGCATGCATCACATCCTGTAGCACAGCACTCCAGTTTCCCATGAGTCCTTTCTCCCAGTTGTCACCCTAGTCAAGCCTTTGTAGACCATTCCACCATTCTATAACGTCAGCTGCTAACTGGTGATGGAGCATGTGGTACAAATACTGAATTCCATGCTTTCTTAGACTGTTTCCTATTGTTAATAACACAATACCATAGCCCGGCATATAGTTCTAGTCCAAGGTCAAGGGGCTGCATCTGGTGATGGCCTTCTTGCTGCTGGAGTCCCAAGGTGGGACAGGGGAACACGAGCAACAGATAGGGGAGGCAAAATAGAGCTCACCAAACTAGCTTTCATAGGTGACCACTGTGAAGACAACGCTTACCCATTAACCGTGAGTTCATTCATTCATTCATTCATTCATTCATGAGAGCCAGGCCCTAATCACCTTTAAAGCTCCCACCTGGTCCCATCTCTTAACATATCATAATGCAGATTAAATTTCAACATGAGTTTCAGAGGGGACAAACCATAGCACACAGGCTTGAGTACACTGACTCGCTATAAAATATACCCCCTGGTTAGAACCAATGTCGTGTGTAATGCCATAGTGATGGGAAAAGTATTCTGTAGGTCACAAATGGTGGTTCTGCTGAAACACTGAAAGCAGGAGTGAAAAGTAGGCATTCCTGGGAGAACAAAACGATGTCCCGTTCACGGTGCAAAGTGTTCAGTATCACCTAACAGCCCTAGGTATTTGTTTCCCCTGCCCCGCAACCTCCACAGGGAATAGTTCCAAACTAGGGGCTTGGTTTTTGCCTCTGCTGTTGGCAAGTTAGGCAGGCAATGAGCATTAGGAATAACCTTCCCAGCCTTGGTGTACGCAAGTTGTCAAACCCATACATGACCTCCATCCCTGACACCACAATTACTTTGTTCATGAGTCCATTGTCGTGAGCACTGGGGTGGCTAGAAAAAGAGGATGACTGACATTCACAGAGCAAGTCATTTTGTCTACCTGGTTACTAAGAGGCCCTTCCGCCATAGATTGCCACCGTGAGAATTTGCATGGGATACAAATATCTCTACACGTGGTTCTCATTCTAAAAGCTACAAGCACATAACTCTTTTCCCCAGACCTTCTTTTAGTCCTTTCCACGTCTCTGACCATCCAGCCAACATATTAACCACTGTTCGTGACTCAGTGTAGATCTGTTCCAGGCATCTCCTCTTCCACAAGAAGGGAACAGCCAAAAGCTGCTTATGTGAGAGAAAGTTGCTGCTACTCACGCTACGTAAGTCTAAGCAAGATGCATGACTTTGGATGGACCTCTGTGTTAGTCAGCTTTCCATCACTGTGACAAAATGCCTGAGAAAAATGACTAAAAGGGAGTAAAGGATTATTTTGGCTCACAGTTTTAGAGGTTGCTGCCCATGATCACGTCATCTGTTGGTTTGGGGCACATGGTGAGGAAGCACATCGTGACGGAGAGTGCGTGGTGGAGCAAAGATGCTCACATCATGGCAGCTGGGAGCAAAGAGAGAGGATGGGACTGGGGTCCCAATACCCTATACCCTAAAGGTTCCACCACCTCCCAATCTCACCACTGGCTGGGTACCAAGCCTTCAACGTATGAACCTTTGGTGGGAGTTTAAGATCCAAACCAAAGCACGGTTTTTGGATTTTGGAGACTGCATATGCCATATTTGGCTGCTGATCCAACCCATTTACCAAGTAACCTCTAAGGCTGCCAGTTTTGAGTGGGTCCTGGAACAAGGGAAGACTTTTTCTGTTCCAAACTACAGCACCAGATCTTCGGCCCTATGGCAAATCTGACCTGGCAAGTCCCATGATTCTTGACATATGTGTACAAACGGGAGTCTCTGTACAGCTCCAGTAGGACTGCAGTGCAGAGCTATGCCAATGCTTTATGTTAAGGCCCTGCTCTCGCTCTGCCAATGAGTGTTCATTGCAAAGCAATCCCTGGATCGCTATGGTTTGCATGGGGTTTGTCCCCAAAAGTTCAGTGTTGCACTGTGGTAATGTTAAGAGGCAGTGGGACCTTAAGAGACCTTCCTAGTGGAAGGAAGGTCACTATGTCACTGGAGGCACTATCTTCAGAGGGGTTTGAAGTAGTTCTTGGGACTCCTGAATGAGTTTTCATAAGAGGGCCGTTATAAAAGAACAAGCCCAGCCATTCCCCAGCTTCTTTGCCTTCCTCCATGCCAATGTGATCTCATGCTTCTGCATGTGACCCCGCCACTGTGGTAACATCCATCATGAGGTCCTCAACAGAGCTGAGCCCAAGTCAGCACCATGATCTTGAGCATGCACAACTGTGAGCTACACAAATCTATTCTTACGGTTACAGCTGTAGGTATTTCATTATGGTAACAGAAAAATGAACTACTATGACCCTGGTAGAGAGGGAACCCTTCCATACCAGAGCTCGCGTAATTCACTAATTTCAGTCTTGATCATCCTCCTCCAGCACAGTGGGTTCTCAACTGTCCTTTATGTCTTTGCACCAGTCACATATAAAATATCTTTTCATAAGCACAATTTCTCATTGTTGGAGCATCTAATAATGGCAAAAAGGGAACCCCAACCTCGTTTAAGGATCACTGTTTCACTGCCACCATTTTTGGTAGTTTCCAATATTTTGAATATATATTTCTGTATTGTACACCTATAATAAGGCTATTTCCCCAGGGTTTTCAAGTGAAAAACAAGAGTAACCATATCCTATACTTGTATTTGGCATGTTAGGAATCAGTGTTAATTTTGATATTAAAGTGACACATTACAAGAGAACTCCCAAACTGATGCAACCTGGCATTGACCCAGCTCTCCCTACTATCAAGTTAATGAGGGTGCTACACAAGTTTGGCAATAGCAAGTGTATAAACAAGGAGCTTTAGTGTTTCCTGGAATTATGCTTACATACCCAACACCTGACCTGGTTATTCCTCACTCTACCTCTCCCATGAAAGGAGGTTAGGCCAGAGGCCTAAAGAGGTTTTTCCTTAAGCCCCAATTCAAAAATCATTGCCAGTCATGCACCATAACCTTAAAACATTTTTGTTCTGAGAGAATAAGGCAAGTACCCATGGCTGCGAGGAGCATATTAGGAAAAAAAAAAAAAAGAAAAGAAAAAAGGAGCGTGCATCCTTATGACTTTTGCAATCAGTTGGCCTAGGGTTTGAGGACCCTTCTGGCATCCAAGTGAGAGTGATGGTGTGGGTGGCTTTGTCTCACATGGGCCCTCCTATACTTCCCATCACTTCCACACTGTTGGTATAGAAATGGAAGCAGACAAGAATATCCCAAGAATCCCACCCATTTTGTTTTAGTTGTCACTAACTCATAGTGACACCTGCCATATTTCTCTGCTAGAAAAAACAGCCCCCCCAAAGCTGAGTTCTTAAGTATTGCTCCAAAAGATGTATAGTATATATGATTTCAGCCTGGATAAAGGATGCATGCCCCCAAAGTTAAATGTTTAAGGAAAAGGTAATATTCTTAAGAGTTCGTATTATTACTCTGAAAAGTGTAAAAAAAATGATAAATAGGAAAACAGCTAACATGGTTTGCATGACCACTTGAATAAAAAAAAGCCACAGGAAGCTTATTTTAACATGTATTAATTGTTCATATTAGTGGGCTTCAATGTGCCATTTCAACATCTGCATGGTGTTTGACAAGGGAATGCCATTCTATTTGGGGGAAAACAAGACTGCTGTCTTGCATGGAACAGACCCCATGATACAAAAGAGCCAGCTGATTTTATACAATTGAGTTAAAAGTTGCAGCAAGACCTCTGTAACAAGTAAAAGCTATAATGTATATTTACATATGCCTGTCAGAAGGGACTCAGAACTGTGAATTCTAATGCAATTAGATGCCCTAGAACTGCTGAATTAGATTTGCCTTGCAATTTTCCTAGTAAGGGACCTATCGCAAATAACCTCTGCTGCAGAATCAATCATTCACTGGCCAGCATGAGCAGGCATACTGTACATTTGAAATGTATCAATACATTCTGGAGCTGACAGAGAAATGTCTGGTCTGTTGTTTTACTCCTGACAAGTACATGTGTTACACATAGGTTAAATATCAAGAGTGCCTTTATCCTGGATTTAGGGCTGTAGCATGAACAAGGCTGTAAGACATGAGTCCCACGAACATGTATAGTAGAAATGAAACACATGAGAAACTTGTTGGAACATGGGATATACAAATGGTCTCAGAAATGAGTCATGACCAAGTCACACAGTTTATGCATTCAGAGATGTGAAATCTCAATGCTTCCTTAGTAAACAAAATAGGAGTGGAAGGGGGAGATGACCAAAGCA